GGGATTGGCACTCGCTGCTATTAATACGTTGTAAGAACAACAAAATATGAAATGAGCAACAAAATTGTCTATAATTTCGCATGCAACACACATTCGGCTGCCGGTGTAGTGTTCTGTCGGCCAACTCGTTTAGGCCGATTTTCATTTAGCAACTATGCGGCCGTTTATGAGTTAACCAATACAGGCAGATAGGAGTTACAAGCCGATGGTCAGTCAAATTTAGCGAATGCACAAACCAATTTAATGCCTACCCCGAAAAATGCATACAACACACGGAGCATGGCTTAAAATTACTGCCATTACAGAGGACCACAAGCCGGTTAAGCGGCTGCCTCGGTAACGACTAGCGGTAGAACGACCGTTAGTAACTGGCAAGTGCTGGTTAATGCTGAACTCTAGCATGGTGTTAGCGCTCAATTGGTCGGACGTGCATCCAGTTTTGAGGCTCAGCTGTTGGCAAATGCTATTATGTAGTGGACGTTGCGCTCATTTGGCCCAATAGGGTTAGGTCTATGTGTTGCTTGTACAGAGTAAGTGTGTGTTCGCACATGTTAATTTTAATTTATACGTTAATTGAAACCACTGCATCGTGTGCGTACGCAGTCAAAAATTTTACAAGTTTGCACTACATGCAACATGCAAAATACAACAACAGCGGTAGCTGGAAAAACATTAAAAGCTTGTAGTTAATATATGTGTGTACATTCTAGGGGGTGAGCGAGAATGCTTAAATTTTCGCAAGCGACAAAATGTCGGTTGGTCTTGTTTGGACCCACTAGGTAAGTACTTGCAATAAAGAAAATATTTTTGGTATTTTAGGTAAAGATTTCAAAAAACTATATATAAATGAGAAAAAGTAACATAAAGCTTCAATGGTCCTAACATATATTCTTTGATTAATTAAATAAAGTGATAAGTATCAATAAGTGGGAAGGACTAAGATTTCCTATTGTGTATTTTTATTCTCTGTTAGAAAATTACAGGCTTGACTGATTATTATTGCACTTATCGGAAATCGATTCATCTAGGATTAAGTAAACGAACATAAGTTAAAATTTGAGAGATAAAATAGAGAGAAAACTGAGAGAGAAAGAGAGAGAGAGAGACAAAGATAGAAAAGTTGCAAGAACGAGAAAATAAAATAAATAAAAAGAGAAAAGAAAATTAAAGAGCAAGAACGAGAAGTTAGGAATATTAGAAGAGCATTACGTTTTCAAAGCAACATCTTGACAAAATTTATGTTACGCCGCTAGACGCTGCAATAGCGAGCCAGTGCTAAACTTTATAACTTGCTCTTCATAAAAGTTATTGTTGGCCTACAGACATAGAACGAATAAAATGTGTCTCTAAATCTCCCATATTTTACTCAAATCGAATTTAAAACCCCGAAACAATTCAAATGTTTTTATTGGTAAAAAAACACGACCTTCCTTAATGATGACGAAACACTTTAATTGAATATACATAATTCAAAAATGTTTGGGAAGCACTGTATTTGGCGGAGACAAAGTCACTTAGTATACTAGTCGGTAGGCTTTTTGTTATTGTTATGTCTATGCGGCAGTTTTTTAAGCAGTTTTTGACACAGCAGACAAATGCTTTTGCGGTAGATCCGATGTGAGATACTAAAATGTCAGAAATACAAAAAATGTGTCGTAGAAGTTTACGCTGACTCAACCTTTTTCTACACACAACTTTCTCTGTTTTCTTCTTTTTATAAAATACTCGTACATATAAATTTATATATTTGCCAATAGATATGTGTTATAAGACTGCATATGAATATTCACAGAGTAATAGAGCTTTCGCTTAAGCTTAGTTTTCTATCGTGTGACTAAAGCACAAGTAGGTGACACCAGACTGCCGACATAAAGTCTGCGACCCAAACGGTGTCGGCATATGACATTCATTATATCAGCTCTGAAATGTACATGGTTGACTCTCTTTCAGCTGCCTCTCTGCCGCTCAGAATATTTTTATATAACTACAACATATATGTATATATATTGTATATTAAACAATACTGACATTACTTATAAGATGGGACTCTTGGGTGTAAGTGAGGTAGCTGTATTGATATCTTTATAACTATTGATAAGGCGGTTCTCTAAAAGTGTAGAGCAGCAAATGTCAAGAATGACTCTCAGGATGAAATTAATACTGACAAATACAATAATATCATAGCAGGTACTTTTGTTCTTCCGAGTAACATAATCGGTAAAAGTAAGTAAAAGAATCGGTCCAGCATGTTCGGAGAAGAGTTTGCCTCCCTCAAGGCCTAGAAAAGTTAAACCAAAGGCCAACATTACCTAAAATTAAATTTTATTAGTTTTTATTGATATACATTATATATAATTATAACCTGAACAAGGTATATTAAGTTTGCCACAAGCTTTTTAACACCCAAAATGAAGCGTCGGAGAACTTATTAAGTGTATACAAGTATATAAATGAGCAGCGTGACGAGCTAAGTCAAATTAGTCCATGTGTCCGTTCGTCTGTTTGTATAAGCGCGAACTAGTCGATATATCGATATGAAATTTTCCACACGTTCTTTTCTCCCCAAAAAGTTGCCCATTTGTCGGTACCGCCGATATTGGACCACTAAGGCTTGTAGCTGCCATACAAACTGCACGATCGAAGTTAAGTACTACTATTGGAAACTGTTTCATCTTCTTGTATGGAAGTGGTATTGAAGCTATTTTGAGTAATTTGAAGAATGCTGTTTTCCCATATTAAAAAAAAAATATAGAAGATTCGCAATTATTTTGAAACTACAGGGCAACAATAACTCTTTTAGTTTTTTTTACGTAAAATACTGCTTTGTAATTTTTTTTTAGCAACTGCAGTTGTTCACCATAAGTAAAAAGCGCCTTTTACGGCCGCCTACATAATTGTTGTCTCTAAAAAAGTGGCAATGTTTGAAAAAATACGCGACTGTTGTCGTTGAAGTCCATAATTTGTCTGTTTGTTCAAAGCGCCGCCGAATTGGAAACCTTGAACCGTGAAAATATTATTTTACAAGCAAAATAAACAGCAACAACAGCAATGTATGCGCAGCGAATCAATGCAAAATCATAAATAAACAAGTTGCAGAAATTAAGGAAAAACAATAAATATTTAAATACACACGCACACACAAACAGCTACGCTCGTGTATGAATCAATGCTTAATATATATAGTTTGCATGTGTGTGTGTGTGTTTGTGTTGCTGTGCCGGAACTGGCATAAAAACAATAAATAAATGCAGTTGTGCGACAAAGCGCAATCTGTTCGCCAATGACTTTTCCTGCTTTTTTCACACTTTTGCCGGTTTTTTGCACAATTACCCACACACATGCGCTAACAATGCCCTCAGCGCTTATTGTACTTGACCTATGCGTGTGTGTGTGTGTGTGTGTTGGGTTACGTCTGGTTGGGGTCAGCCACTTATATTGACATATTAATTCGTTACGCCATATTGGCCATCACAAGTGTTTGGCTTTTGTTTGTGTGTATGTGTGCTGTTATATGTACTATTTGCTATTGTAATTGTTGTTGTCATGGCGTCGTATTGCGTTTCAGTGATTTAACATGAGATTTCGTCATCGAAAAGTGCTTTGCGCTTTAAATATCAAGAGGCAGAGCAGAGTGCAGACTTGAAAATTTTTAGTTTTTTGCCTTGCGCCTTATTTGCAGTTGCAGTCAAATGTGACAGACTGTAAATTGACCAGTCAGTTGGTGTGCACATGAAAATACAGTATAAATAATAAAAACTTGCAAAAAAATATTTTGTTTAAATTAAACTTGACTAAAAGTGCTACAATGGTGCAAATACTTACATATATGTGTGTGGCTAAAGCATTGTTGCAGAATTTAATAAACGCAACTTTAGTTGTGGCACATATTGGCTATAAATTTTGTACATAGTGGAGATGTGAGTAGCAAATCGTTGAAATTGAATTAAAAAAATACAAACTTTTTATTGTAAATTGGGCTTAATTTGCATTTGAGTTGATCTAGTTAGTTTTTGGCTTTACTGGTTTAGTAAGAAATGCATTGAAAATTATATAACAAATTTTATATTTGTTTACTCTTGCAGCATGTTGCTATATGTATAACAGTTTTGTATACCTAACGGTTGTTTTTATCACCTGAAACTAAAAATGTAACGAAAAATGATCAGTATGACGAGACGACTTGAAACCCGGATGTCATTCCGTTTTTGTTACAAACCTTATGTAACTTTCACTATAAAAGCTTTCATAAAGCTTCAAAGCTTTTTGTAATATATGCGTAAATTTATTTCGGGAAAATAAGAAAATTTTAAAACACTATCATTAAAGCTCAAAAAGCTTCCCTGCGCTTAATTAATGAAAACAGCTTTCACTAATATTATGTAACTTTTGCTATGAAAGCTTTCGGAAAGCGTTTAATAACAAATGCAATAATTGAAAATTTTCGGGCTAATAAAAAAATTGTAAAACATTTTCTCTTAACTTGCGAACAGGAATATTTTCAATTCAAATCTCTCTTAGATTACTAGATATATTTATGAAAGTTTTGAAAAATAAGAAAACAGTTTTGGTAAATAATGAAACCGCAACTTGTCCTGTTTTCTGAAATGTATAAAAAATAATAAAAAGAGCTTTTCCATAGCATTATGAAACTTCCGCTATGAAAGCTTTTACAAAACTTTTTCACTGGAACTCGTATTTTGTTAACTTTTACGATCTTCGTGCAATTTTCTATAACAATTAATGCATTTGATTTTAAATATTTTATGAAAATTTTCAGAATTATTTTCGAAATACTAAAACAAAAATTTGTTTAAATCAAATTTTCAGAAATTTTCAGTTTGAAATACTAAAACAAAAATTTCTTTAAATCAAATTTTCAGAAATTTTCAGTTTGAAATACTAAAAGAAATATTTCTTTAAATCAAATTTTCAGAATTATGTTTCAAATACTAAAAATTAAAATTGCGAAAGCATTGAATTCAGTTAAGATTTCCACTTACCTTTTTGGTAATTCATATTTTCATCGGTTATATATTCAGCACATCAATGAAATTTTTATAGCACAAAGATTATAGCACAAACTAGTTGCCGAATACTGTGGAATACAAAAAAAAACTGCAGCACACACAAACGTTTCAGTTTAATCTATTAAAAAGGACACACTGCAATTTTGTTGATCTGAAAGCAAAAGAAAAAGTTATTTTGTAATAATTTAAAAATAATGGAATGATATTATTTTTTAAGAAGCTACATTTTATAAAAAAGGTTGCCTAAAGTGTAATAAAATATCTGAAGAGTTATATTTTGCATTAATGAAAAATTTAAAAATTTCGCATAAATTTGGAGGGACTTAAATTAATAACAGTTTCTTATTTACAATTTATTAAATTTTAACAAAATGTTTCAAATGCCTAAAAAATATTTTTTTTTAACATTTTCTTACTTGTGGAATATTATCGAAATTGTTATTCACTTAAAATGTTTGATTTTATTTTCATTTTTTTAAATAATTTTTACAAAAACCAATATTTTTTTTTCTATTTTTTTTTTCTCAAACAATTTGTCTGCACTCTGTCAATCAGTCTAATTAAGTGCTCAAAAGGCAAATACTTGCTTGTTATCTTTGCAACAAACCAAATACGCTTAAGTTGTTACTTCGGCTCACCCTACTCACTCGCTTTATTTAATAAAAGTATGTAGACTTTTACAACACACTCATACTTTCCCAAAACGTTTCTTTTCATCAAGATCTACCTTGTCCTATTTAATTTCGCAACGCACAAAATGAACGTCTACCAGCAGGTTAATTACAATTATATTCAACTATATGCATACAATATGCGCCTAGATGTAGGCAACAGTGATTTAAGCTTCTACCACTTTCACTCCCCTCTTTACCAAGCAGCGCTGCTGGCAAATGCAATTGCAACGTCTTTATTAAGTCAAGACGAGAAGGCAAATAGACATTGAGTTGTGCAAATTAGGAGGCCAAACAAGCAAACTTCTCAAATAAACTATGTGCCTCAAAGTGTGTTATAGAAATTTGGCGGATATACGAAGCGTTGTAAATATAAATGTTATGTGCATAGATATTTCCTTAGATTATGCAGGAGTTTAGAGCGCTAATAACACTGGAGTAGTAAATATAAGCTTCACTTATGAATTATTTCAGTCTTGAAGGTATGGTATGTGACTTTTTAGCAACCTATGACATTCTTTGAAACACAAAATAAATTACCACTTTGAAGAAGTATTCTTCGAAAGCTCACAAAAATTATAAAAAGTTTAGCACTAGCGAATGGTTGTTAGTTTGTTTTAAACATCTAATACACCATATCTCCACTACAAGATATATACTTTATATTAACTTGATCTATCAAATATTTATGAAAATCGCTACATGAGAATCGCTACAGCTGAGATTAGGATTACTTAACACATGCTCATAACCCGTGGTCTAAGTATAACTTTTTTATAACCTTCCCTCTTTTTATTTCTTGTCCGATGACTGATCCAGTTCAAAATACCAATAGTCATTAAAAGCAGGCAAGAGCTTTCCTCCTCAGTCTTTTGGAAATGGACCCAAGCGTCCTTTATTTCTTTCAAAATTATTCACTTCGTCGAAGTCAAGGTATTGGTCTCACCGGTCGGTTTCTGCTTTAAGCTTTCTAAAAAATTCGATTTGGCATGCAATTGGATTCTCTGCTTCTTCATATAATTTCATTCACCTTAGAGAGATATTCCTCTAAATAAGTTCACAGTATTTAGCATACCCCCAACGAATGCTTTCCCAACATCATTAAGCCACATTTAGAAGTAATCCAGACATTTTGTGATTGATACACCATTGTTGACATTAATTTGCGATGACAAATCAAATTATATTCGCAGCAGCAGCGCTAGAAGAAGCTACAGTTGCGCAGAAAAGTTTGTATGTGTGTGATTATGAGGAGATGGCTGCGAAAGAAGACCAAGGATAATGCTGTCGCTGCAGTTTTCACACATGCTTAGAGCGAGTTTATATGCTGCCTATGTATTGGTAATCAAATGTACAAACACATACATAGATACATGAATTTTTGCCGACACCGTTAACGAAGATGCCACAGCAGCGTGGCAAGTGAAGGAAAACTGCACGGTTGAGCTAAATAAACTGATTTGAGAAAAACCAGAATCCGGGGTAGGTCAACGAGGCGTCTACAGAGCCAAAACATTGCTATGAGAGTACGCCTTCATTTGACATACACGCTACTATATTCACCTACATACTTTGAAACACATGCAAATGCATGCCAAACAAAAGCAACAACAATCATGACTGCTTTAAGCGGCAAACGAGTTGACAATGAGCGTTGAAAAACACCAAACGTCAGCTGTATTTGACAGCTTGCAGCAGAGCAGCGCTTAATGGCAGAGCACAAGCGAAAAAGCGACAAAGAGCTGATGAGTGAGTAGTATAAAAAAGAAGCACAGTGCACGCATAATCCCGTTAACACTCACAAACGAACCAACCAACCAGCCATGCAATCAACTGTCAGTTACTGACAGGTGAAACGCTCAGCATGACGACACGCCGCTCTTGTTCTTGTCTTCGCGTTGTTTTTGCTTTAATGCAAGTCAAGTGCTTAGAAGCATAACATTAATTAAGTTTGTAACGACAAATGCCAACAATGTCAACAACAGCAACACCAGCATGCCAAAGTTAGAGCTAATGACGAGCGAATGGATTCGGGAACGTCAGACTTTGTCACTTTTGGCTGCTGGCAGGTGGTTGACAGTGTCGGCGCCCATTGTTGTTGGAATTGAGTTGTTTGGCGCTTTGTTTGTTTTGTTGTAGGTGAAGTCTGGCAAAAGGCGCTGCTGCAGTAGCTGTGCTGCCGCTTGTCGCCTGACAATGTTAATTTCATGAAGTCTCGCTACAGACCCAGAGCGTGTACGGAACTACTAGTGAGCTTTGGGTGTTATAGAAATATGCATAATAGTTATGCGAATATACCAATGGCAATAAATTGATAGTGGAGGGTTATATTTGCTAATACAGGCTGTATGCGCCTTCCTGCTCTTATTTGACTATTATTTGTTATATTTTTGGTTGCTTATAAACATAGTTTTTCAAGCTCAAACATAGCATGCGGTAACCATCTTTATTTATAAGCCAAAAATGGAGGAAAACTAGTGGCAAACTACAAATTGTTGGAGTCGAGAAAGCGACCAAAAGTTAACCAAAATTTCTTTTGTATAAATTTTTACTATAAAATTTAAATATTTATCTGTAACAAAATAAACGCATAATCAAATTTTGATTTAATTTTGAGCTTTTCATTTAAAGGTTTATTATACCCACTTGTGAACTTAAAAAATATATTTTTTTGCTTAAATATCAAATGTACATATATATACCATACTTGAAAAAAAAATATATTTATATGTACATAAATATCTTTTTATATTTACTATATATATAATATAAAATAATAATTTAGAAAATTTGAGTTATGCGCGTTTTGGCAAAAAATGTTAAACTTAGTGTAATCGGCTCTCAGAGTCGTAGATGAAAATTTCTCCAAAACTGTTGGACGGATCGACTTGAAATTTTTACAAGTTCTCTTCACCAATCTCAGAAGAGAATAATTTTTTCTCGTCGGAATTAGAGAAGGATTTAAATTTTTATAATAATATCAACATTGTCGGACACCCCGAAAAGTAAATTTTTTTCACAACAAACAACTTTTTTCTGGAATGGTCAGAAAACAAAATTTTGACCATTCTTCGTTTTTTACCAGTGGCGGATCCACAAAGGGGAGAAGGGTTTGAATGTCAAAACCCCTCCCGAAATTGAAATTATTATTTCATATTCAGAAGAACTTACGAAACAACATCAATTTTAAAAATATTTTTGAATGAAAACACCCCTCCAGAAAGAAATTCTGGATTCGCCACTGCCTGTATTCATTTGTTTTTATAATAAATTTTTGGATTTTTCGATTTGAGATTTTATGGAGTAAAATAATTCTGACAGCCTTATATTTTTTTTCAGAAGTTCTACATGAGATCTGCTAAGAGGTCAATATAATTCAGATTTTTGAAAATCAAACACCAATTAATTTTACCATTTATAAATGTACAATATTTTTATTTAGTTTTTGCATAAATTAAATGCATTTACAAAAAAAATTTTAAATTTCACGAAAAAACGAATTTTTCTAACCTGCTTGTGAAAATAATTTATAAAATATGAACCACTGTCAAAATAACTTAATTAAAAAAAAATTCTTGGGATTTTAAGTTCGTAAGGTTATAGCAAAATTTTAGGTTAAACTCCCCAAGTTGCCAACAAAATTTATTTTTAGCTCAAGCTACTATATTTCTTGAAATACATTCAAGAATAAATTTTAATATATTAATATATTATTTTAAAGAAAAAATTATAATTCTTAGCGATTTCATGATTTTACGCGAAAGCCAGACGTTTTAGAGCACGCGCTGTTGCACTCATTCAATTGTTTAGACGCATTTTTGCATGTTTTGTTGTTATTATTTTCTGGGTATTGTATTTTAATACGCCTTTGATATTTTTCTCACTACCATTTCGTGCAATTTTATGGGCTTTTCTGCTGTAAATGAATGCATTTCGCTTTGCTGCACAAAGAGTGTGAAATAAAATGCAAACAAAAGACACAGTCAAGAGGAGGGAGGAAGGTAAAAATAAATGTAAGCAACTTGTTGGTTGAAAGAAACACATTTTAATGCAAATTCGTAGCAGATTCAAAAATGAGAATCAAGTTATAATATATGACCTTTAGAGGGGCAAATGCTTTAGAAGTATAATTTTCACGGTTGCAAGTTCAGATTCTAGTATTAAAATATGACATTTACCGCTTTATGAAGAAGCTTTCATGATTTTTTTGTCGTTCTTGTGCCCTTTGAAGCTTCATGCACTTTAAATTTTTAAATGTCTTGTCTACTTTTAGGATTATATTGAATTATTTTAGACACTTAGTAGGCTACCAAAGCAATAAATGAGAGCTAACAAGAGTAAAACGGGCGTGCAGTACTGCAAGTGACAATTTTGCTTCTTACAAATTTCCATTTTAGTAGTTTAGAAAAGCAAATTCTACACATTTATAATTCGCTTACTTAAAACTCTAAAACATTCTTCTCTACTGAAAACTCAATAA